CACACTGTCTCTTTCTCTCTCATACATATGTTGGCTAGTTATAAACTCTTAGACTTTTAATGATTAGTGTTTTATTTTTAAAGTTTATGGGTCGTGTAAAAAAAAAATCCCTTATTTTGGGGATGGATTCCGGGAAATCTCCCTTATTTTCAATGTTCAATGTTGACAGCTGGACTGGATACGGTAAAAGTTTATCAACTTGCTCTGCTGAGTCCGTCACTGTCTTTGTTGCTCTGATTGGCTTTAGCGCTATCCAATTGTGTGCAGAGAAAATTTGAAAGACAACCGTTTATCCCGCCCCTCGGATTGAGCCCTGTCAATGAAGAGTTTCCAGACCTAACATCTTGATGTAGGTCTGGCATGCCAGGCTACCAAGAGGGAGGTTTTGTCCCGGAAGGGCAAAAGGTTTTTGACCGCTGTGGCGCGATGGCGCTAAAACGTATTGTTGATATTCTATTGGGTATGATGGATATGGTTAGCTACCATTGAAATGGATAATGGAAATTCGCTCCGTGCACAAGATGGCGACCGTTGACGTTCGAAACTTGAGTGTGTGGGCCAGTACTTCCGGTGAATACTTCCGGTTTTCTGACGGAGAGTGGGCCGAGTTAAATTACCACAGAGATTTTTTTTAGAATGAGTGTTTTTAAAATTCAAAAGAGGCGAGTTCCCTTTCAGAGGGTGACAGCCACATCACTTCATTGTTGTGTGCCATTATGTACCGTTTCATCGACTTACAACAAAGAAGTGAGCTTTCATGCATTCCCCGTTGATGCCGCGCGGCGAGCTGAGTGGTTGCAGAAGATCCGGAGGGATGACTTCAATCCGACCACAAACACTCGGGTCTGTAGTCGGCATTTTAAGCAAACGGATTTGAATGTTACTGCCGGGGGGTTGAGGAGGTTGAAGAAGGGAGCCGTACCGGTGTACTTCTCATGGAATAGGTACAAACTACCCGCGATTAGACAGAGCGTCTGGGAAAGGCGTCCGCGGGCCGAGAGTCCTGCACCAGAGTCAGACTCGGAGATGGAGACCGAATTGGCTCCAGATCATGACTACTGTGTACTCCCTCAAACAGGAGCAAGGGCGAGTAATTTGGCCGACAAGAACGAAGCTCTACGTTGCCATATTAGGGAGCTGCAACAGCAGTTGGAAGTCCTCAAACTTCGCCAGCGTTTTGGGATAGAGCGCCTGTCTGCATCAGATGAGGATGTGCGCTTTTATACCAGGTTTGCGTCCTACAAGAGTTTCATGGCTTTTTGGAGTTTAATTGAACCTGCTGTGATCAACAAGATGGTGCGCATAACCAGCGCTAAGACAGCCTCTGCCAGCATCAGCACAGTCCATCACCCAACAACGGTAGGTAACAAATATGATAACATGACATGCATAGAGTTGTAGGCCTAATGTAACTCTGAAATTGGATACAAACCGTTTCATTCCGTAATTGCCCCTGTTGGCTTGTGAAGTTAACTAACATCTAACTAAAAAGTAAAAGACAACAAGCTGATGTTGGTATTATTTTCTATTTACATACTAGTACACACACGAGAGAAACCTAAGTGTCCGAGAATTAGTTATTAATTGCTACACAGTAATATATAATTACTATATAAGAGGCATGGAAGTCTGATTTATGGACAACAATAATCAGTAGGTTAAAAACGTCTTGTTTTGAGCTATTGTATAATAAATATAAATAATTTGACCACATAAAGTTTCATGGAGGATTAAATAAGATTGAATTTATGTAGTAAGATTTTATAACTTATCACTGTACCACAACCGGGTTTTAAATATTATTTTCTGATTTATTCTTTGTAATAACAATATCAATGTCAAGGTAACTAAACAGAGGCTTTTATTTTTTTATATCTCAGAAACTTAGACCCATTGACGAGTTTCTGCTGTTCCTGATGTACCTGTCAGTGGGTTTTCCTCTCAGGTTGCAGAAAGGTTCAGCATTCACCGCACTACTGCAAGTCGGATCATCTCCACATGGACTCATTTCCTGTACTGCCTGCTGGGGAGCCAGCGCCTTGAATTCCTCCAGAGATAGTGAGAGCTCACCTGCCACCTGAGTTTGCAGCTTTTTCTGATACACAGGTGGTCCTTGATTGTATAGAGATATTCTGTCAGACGCCATCCTCACTGCTCCTTCAGAGTGAGGTTTTCTCAACCTACAAATCACACACTACATTCAAGGCCATGATTAGCATGGCACCCCACGCTGCAGTCACCTTTGTGTCTGGACTGTATGCACAGTGTTGCCAGATGTACGATAATTATCGTATTTGTACGATAATTTTGACCTCTGTACGATGTACGATCAATAATGAAAAAAATCCCATAATGTACGATAATTTCAGATTTTTGTGATCGGGGGTCATAATCATAGTGCTTCTATACTCATTGATCTAGCTGTTGATTTACGTCATGCTTGTGAGGAGAAAATTAAGGCGAGAGAGCACGGTATGAGGGAGAGACTGCGTGTGTGCGTCTCCCCCGCTCCCGTCATCAATCCAGTCGACTCTCTGGGCAACGCGTCATAGTTGGGGGGCGTGGTCGGCGTGGGGGAAAGCAGCGTATGTATTTGAATGACAAAAATGTCATATTGCGAGTCATTGACGGCTGCCGACCGGCAACGGTACATTGCAAAATGAACTGTAATAGGTTATGATTGCCTTTATTTAATTAAAAACTGGGTCAATGACCCACCAAATGGCCGGAGGTGTCGTTTCCAGACTATTATCTGGTTGAATCTCCAAGACATCGCGGTAGCTACTGGTAACATAAGCCTAACTCAATCAACTAAGTTGATATAAGTTATTGTAAGTCCACAAAACCTTGTCACTTAACAACTGTACGTAACCTTCACTCCAAACTATTAATCCTTTTGTAAAACGGTGATCAGTAGTAACCTCGAAATTGCCGAGGGGTTTTGCTGACAGAATCCGAATTCTCACAGACTGCACTCTCACTCTGTATTGAGCTGATAACCTTAAGCTGATAACACTAATGTGAATGAGACATCCCTTAGGAAAAACGAATCTTGTAGTATTTTAGGACAAAATATTATACAATATTATACAAAATATTACGTAATTCCTTTTATAAAAATACTATAGTTTTTTACAGAGGAAGCTATTACAGAACATCAGAGAAGTATTATAGAATATTATAGATATATAATATTCTATCTATAATATTTAATATTATAGATATTATAATATAGATTATATATATTGTTATAATTAGATTATAATCTAATATAGATTATATATTATATTACCCATCACCCCCCCCCCCCCCCCCCCCCCCCCTTTTTTTTTGACGTGTGTACGATCATTTTCTTCCAAATACGATAATTTTGAGCTTCTGGTACGATACTTTGATATTTTCAATCTGGCAACACTGTGTATGCAGGCTCTATGAGTGATCGTGAGATCTTCAAGCAGTCCAGGATTGTGAAGCTTCTGAAGCCAGGTATGGCGATCATGGTGGACAAAGGTTTTGTTGTGGACAACCTTGTTCCTTGTAAGCTGTACCGCCCTGCTTTTCTCAGCAACAACCAGCAAATGAGTCGAGAGGATGTCAGACAGACACAGTCAATTGCACGTCTGAGAGTGCATGTGGAGAGGTGCATAAGGAGAGTGAAAGAGAACAAACTGTTCGACAAGGACATACCACTGTCTATATGCGGGAACATTGACGAATTGTTCAGTGTGGCCTGCTTCCTGGTCAATTATCAGAATGGGCCATTAGTGAAGGCATGGGCAACTTAGTAATGAATTAAACATCTTGCTTCTTAAAAACAGTCTTTGTGTCATTGTTGTCATTACATTAGCTTTGTTTTTACTGACTTGAAATTAAAATAAAAACGCACCAGAGATGTCATTAGACTATGTAGAATTTAATAAGGAAATACCGAACAACACATATTCAATCATACAATATCAACAATCCACATTTTACAATCGGGCTCTCATTGCAATCAGTAAAAAAGGTATGGTCTCAGGTCAATTATGGAAAGAAACTATATGAGGATATATGCGCATATGAAACCTATATGCAGTTTATATGCACATATATGCTGCATATACAGCATATACGCACATATATGATAATATATATGCTGCATATGTGTGTATATATGACACATATAGGCAATTTTAGGTGCATATATGCACATATATGATAAGATATATGCTGCATATGTGTGTATATATGACACATATAGGCAATTTTAGGTGCATATATGTGCATATACAGGCCATATACTGTAGGTCTCCTGCATTGCTTCTTTATATCCACACATAAGTGCTATATACAAGAGTATCCTATACTGTAGCTCATGGCAGGATCTGGTCATTTGTAGCTCATCCACTCTAAACAATGCTGGGTTGTTTGAACCCAAATTTGGGTGAAATATGGACAAACCCAAATGTTTGGTTAAAAATGTAATTTCAAATTTTAACCCAAATTCAACTTTCACTTTCACTTTTTCAACTGTACATTTTTTTAATTGCATTTTTAACCCAACATTTGGGTTTGTCCATGTTTGACCCAAAGCATTTTTAGAGTGTATATGTCACTATATTGCTCAAATAAATAAATAAATATTTATATACATATCAGAATGACTTAGTGGAAAAGAAGGAAATGTATAACAAAAGGGTTTGTTGTTTTTTCATTTTACCAAAAAGCCCTTTTTCCAATTTCAAGTCACTTTCCCATACACATCCACACATTCACCGATACATCCACCAAATGCAATGCAAATTGCAATGTTTTCTGTATTGTCTGAATGCAGTTTTTTTTGTAAGGTCATTACAGTCAAAAAAAAAAAAAAAAAAAAAGTGAATAGAACGAACATTCAAATAATAATCATCATCCCACCATCCCACCATCTATCTGAGCAATTCACAGTGGTTAATAAATTCGAATGCTGCTGCACTGCCGATTGGCCGCTACAGCGCCCCGTAGTTGATGACGTCACCTGCCTAACGCTTGACGTTATCCGTATCCGATGAGATGAAGTCAAGTTTCGCGCCGGAAGATAACGGCTGGGAGTAAAAATTGCGATTTCAGCATTGGAGATCCTCTAAGTCCTACTTATCACCAATCGTAAGTATTCCTAATTTTATATTTATTTGCAGGGTGGAAATTGCGGTGGCAGAGAAGTATAAACTTAGCATTTATTTTTTGCCAAACACACCTGTTTCAGCCCATACACTTCCTATGTTGTTAGCTGGTGAGGTAACGTAACGTTACTGTGGGTGCTAAAATAACTTAGCCGTTGATAAGATTCAATTTAGAATTAACGTGTATTTATTTGTTTCTTTCTGGAGGAATTCGTAGAGGGTTATCAAAAGTCATGGCCTAGAGAACATAACGTCATGAGAATAAATGATACTTCTCTGCCAACGGCTCAAGAAGGCAATCGGCTCCAGAAAAAAAAAATACCTGTGGAGTTTGAATTTGGTCGAAATTGGTGAAAGAAAGAGCCGTATCAATGGGCTTGCCTTTACAGTTGCAGGAAATGTCTTTCAAATAGTAAACATTAACGTTAGGGCATTACTATTTTGATTAAGTGATTGTAATTGTTTTTTTTTCTTTATATAACCTCTTTCTAGAATTACCTCAAATGAAAAGTTACCTCGCCATTATTGCTCAAAAAGGTAAGTTCCTCTGATTTTGCTTTTTAAAATTGTTTCTCTAACAGAGATGTAGAGACTTGTGATGTTGGGCTGATTGATAGTGTTAATTATTTGATTTAAGTTATTTGCACTTTAATTTATTGAAGAGAATAACTTTTATTTTTCTTCTATGAACAAGACTGGAAGGAGTCCTGTTGAGGATTTAGATTCCTCCTCTTTTGAAAAGTGCAACCGGTGAGTAACCCCCTTGAATTTTTATTTATTTATTAATAAATATCCCCATCCCCACCCCGACACCCTATCCTCCTCCTCCTCTCCTTTAAGAACATTTAGGGCAATTATTAATTTGTTTCATATTATTATTTTGTGTAATATTATTATTTTGTTTCTTTATCATTAATCTGCATTCATACATAAAACATATAAACTATTGGGAAGCTAAGCATAAGAATCAATATGAAACAATGCCAATAAATGAATAAATTATTTTTCAGATTGAAGTTATAAAGGGCTCTGGGGTGTTTTGCCAGGCAGAAGTGTGGAAAGCAGCCCTCCTTGCCACCTCTGCTACTGCCATGGTGTGGAATCTGCTGCTGGGCACATTTGATCTGGAGACTTTGCTGAAAAACAACCTGAATGGTACAAAACATTCTCCTAATCTCTTCTGTCCGTAAAAAAACAATTAATATTCTGTGGAATAAATTATGTTTGTGTGCGGGCATACCATCGTTTTTTTACTTGCCATTTTTGTATTTCCTTGCACCTCAAGAAAATGTGATGTGTATATAAAAAAAGTATTGCTTTCACAAGCTTCATTTTAACCCCCTTTTATAATAATTTTGAAATTTTACTTTAAGGTGGGAAGCCAACCAGAGGGGATGGGGAGCAGCTGGTCGCCCTTGACCAAATTAAAAAGGCATCATTATTGGTGAGTAAATGTATAAAAGTTTTGTTTTCCCTTCTCAACGCATTAGGATTTTATAAGTTCACCACTTTAACCATAGCCTACTTGTATCAATGTTTATTAGGCATCAATTGAGACTGTATAAGGGATTATTGTTACTATATCTACTTGGAACCTATAATACTAATTCATCGCTTGCTCAGTTCTTGATCCTAACTTTCCTTTTCTTAAGCCACGTTTCAGATTTTTCAGAATCTTCCAATTGACATGTTTACATGACGCATTTTTTAAAATGATCAACCTTTTATCAAAAAATATGTGTCCGATCACATCTGTACTGTAAGCACTTTGGGTTCCTGATGAAGTACTATATTATTCTTCTTCTTCTTATTATTATTATTATTATTATAGTGTCTTATTATTTTTGTCTTCTCTAGATGCTACATTGAAGAAGTGGCCGTCAGCCAGCCGAGGGGAGATGGGCACGTCTATCAATTCAAAGCTCATGGAGCTGAGAAGATCAAAAAGATTTTTTTTTCTATCCAGTTTTTTTGTCTTATTTTTGTTTTTGTACTATTTGATCTTAAGTAAATAAATAATCTAAATGCATACATTTTGGACTATTATTTATGTTGCCTAGTAGCTATGGATTTTAATAATTATTCTAATATAGGTAAACATGTTGGTGCATGTATAAATGCACCTATATGTGCACATATATGCGTACATACATGTACATATATAGGTACATGTATGCATGTATATATGCACCTATATGTGTACATATATGCATGCATACATGTACATATATAGGTTCATATATGCACAAATATATGCACCTATATGTGTACATATATGCGTGCATACATGTCCATATATGCACCTATATGTGTACATATGTGTGCATACATGTACCTATATAGGTGCGTATATATGTGTACATATATGCACGTATATATGTACATATATGTGCATATATGTACATATAATATAGGAAAACGGCCAATTTTATATATGTCACATATATTAAAAACATATCAAAACCTATATTAAAACATATATGTTTATATAGGTTTTTTCCATGTGGGGTAGGCCTGCATTAGTGACATTAGCTCTAGTTTTATAGACCATTTTGCAAGATGTAAACAACACGGGTCCAGAAACACTTCCTGTTTCAGTTTGTAACTGTTTACTTTATTTCACATGTAAAAAAACATCTTAAAGATGTTTGTGTCACAGTCCTTCGTCTGCACCATCCTGTCTGCGTCTCCTGCACTACACTTCCCATGATCCTCTCGTCTGCACACCTGAACTCACTCCCTCATCAGCCTCCCGTTCAGCGTCCTGCTTCATCTGTTTCACCTGTTTGCACTCCATTTAGTTTGATTCCTCTGTCTATTTAGTTCCATCTTATTCAGTCTGTCTTTGTCAGTCGATGTTTGATGTTACCCGATGTTTGCTCCTGTTTCCCTGCCTTCCTGCCTGTATGTTTAAAATAAACCCGCATTTTGATGTTAATCTGGATTCCTCCCGCTCCTTCGTCCTGCACTCCTGCACCCCTGCACCACACCCCGTGACAGATCGACCGACCACCAAAAAAGGGAAAAAATATGGACCCTTTCGTAGGGGTTCAATTGCTCTGTTTAGAGCAAACGGACCGGTCTCTGGAGGATCACCTCATGGACTTCCTCTCCCTCGTTCCAGCCACAACCTTCCCGGACGACAGCCTCTGCAGCTTCCTGTATGCTGGCCTAAACACCGCCACCAGAGAGCAGTTGTCCGGGAACGGTCCCCAGGGGAGCCTTGCGGCGTATGTTGAGTGGGTGCTGGTGTCCTGCGGATCACCTTTCACCATCGATGATGACACCAGCCCCACTCCAACGCCCGATCTCTCTTCATCGCTGGTTCCGCCCAGCCCCATCCAGCCTGAGCCCTCCTCTTCGCTGGTTCCGTCCAGCCCCGTCCAGCCCGCTCCAGAGACCGTCCAGCCAGAGCCCGAGACCGTCCAGCCAGAGCCCGAGACCGTCCAGCCAGAGCCCGAGACCGTCCAGCCAGAGCCCGAGACCGTCCAGCCAGAGCCCGAGACCGTCCAGCCAGAGCCCGAGACCGTCCAGCCAGAGCCAGAGACCGTGATCCCACCCAGCCTCCCTCTCCCACCTCCTCCTATCCATGATGTTTTCACCGTCTCTCCACCACTGCTTGGCAGCCCCACTGCTTCCCCGGAGTGCTTCGAGGAGGTAGAATCGTCGTGGGTCTGCCGGCCACCAACTCCATCTGGGTCAGGGGATCCCCGGTCTCCTCCTCGAACCTCCTCGACCTGGTCTCTGCCGCAGCCCTCTGGTCCATTACCTCCACCATGGCTCTTACCTCCCTCACCTCCGCCGTGGCCCTTCAGCCCACCAGCTCCTCCAGGCTTCCTCGTCCCCCCGGCTTCCCCTTGGTCCTTCATCGACCCGCCCTCACCCTGGGACTGCGTCCTTCTGGTTCGGTTGGGCTCTTCTCTCCCTCCGGGTCCACCTTGGTCCTCGGTCACTCTGGCTGCGCCGCGGTCTTCAGGGTCCTCGTCTCGGCCTCAGTCGCCGGAGCCGTTGGTGTCGCCATGTCCCGCCAGCCCGTCTACATCGCCCGGTCTCGCTGGCTCGATGGCCTCACCCGGGTCTCCACGATCACCTGCTCCGCCTCCATCAGTCGGCTCCCTGGAGTCGTCAGTCCTGCCCCCTCCATGGCTCCTCCCTCCGTCATCTCCGCCGTGGCCGCCGGAAGGGTCTTCACCGCCGTGGCCGCCGGAAGGGTCTTCACCGCCATGGCCGCCTGAAGGGTCTTCACCGCCGTGGCCGCCTGAAGGGTCTTCACCGCCGTGGCCGCCCGAAGGGTCCGCTCAGCCCTGGCCACGCCCTCAGCCTGCTCCGCCCTGGCCACGCCCTCAGCCTGCTCCGCCCTGGCCACGCCTTCAGCCTGCTCCACCCTGGCCTCGCCCCGCTCAGCCCCCAGTTCGTCCCCCCTCCTTCCTCTGTTCTGCGGCGTGAGGTCACGCCTCCCGGGAGGGGGGAGTTCTGTCACAGTCCTTCGTCTGCACCATCCTGTCTGCGTCTCCTGCACTACACTTCCCATGATCCTCTCGTCTGCACACCTGAACTCACTCCCTCATCAGCCTCCCGTTCAGCGTCCTGCTTCATCTGTTTCACCTGTTTGCACTCCATTTAGTTTGATTCCTCTGTCTATTTAGTTCCATCTTATTCAGTCTGTCTTTGTCAGTCGATGTTTGATGTTACCCGATGTTTGCTCCTGTTTCCCTGCCTTCCTGCCTGTATGTTTAAAATAAACCCGCATTTTGATGTTAATCTGGATTCCTCCCGCTCCTTCGTCCTGCACTCCTGCACCCCTGCACCACACCCCGTGACAGTTTGTTTAACTTTTTGATTCATTTTATATGTTCTATTGGTTGTATTTTATCCCAGCTTTTAGTGTTAAAAAACTGAAACAGGAAGTGCTTCTGGACCAGTGTTGTTTACATCTTGCAAAATGGTCTTGTTTATCGGAGTTGAGATGTCATTGTTCAGGATTTTAGGTTAAAGATAAAAAATAAAAACCTAATACTTAGTTTGTACAGATTTGAAAAGATTAAACATAATACCTAATATTAGATCTGGCATTGTAAAGATGAACAAGAAAACATTTAAGAAACATTTATCAACCGACTGAAAAATAACTGATTGAATGAATCATTGATTTTTAAAAGATATAAAGTAATGATAAAAAAAGAAATAATCCCCTCTCTCCCTTATAACCCTAGTGACTTCCGCATCCTTGTAAATTCTTTGTACAAGAAGGTCTTCCTCTGCAAAAACCACAAAATCACACCACTGCATTCCGGTGATAAGCAGCTGCCCCTGCACCTGCCAATAGTAGCTGTGACTTGACTTCAGGCGCAAGGCGCCACAAAATTACCCCAAAATCTGACTTGAACTGGTTTAACACATTTTTTTCCACCCTACTCTGAGGTCGTGACTGAGGCTTCTCATGCTTCCTCATGGACCTATAACATACAGCCCTGACGGTCACCCTCCCAGCAGGATCTTTGTTTGACACTGTGGGAATTCAACATCATTCATGCAATGTTAGGCAAAACTGGGCTTCTTTTCAACATTGTACAGATATTTTTTGTAATTTTACACAAAAAAATTACATTGTACACATTGCCAAATAAACAGACAATACTGTAGTTTATTAAGGTTAAATATAGGTAACTACTCTTCCTAAAAATGGTGGTAAGCACACTTACATTATTATTTTAAGTAAATGTGGTTTGATTTGTTTACATTAGTTAATTGATTAGGCTAACTAACATGAGCCATGAGCAATACTTTTGTTACTGTGTATTTATCTTTATTAATCTTAGTTCTTAAAAATACAGCCGTTCATTGTGTTTCCATGTTACTTCACAGTGCATTAAATAATGTTAACAAATACAACTTTTGATTTCAATAATGTAGGCAACTAGTAAATGGTAAAATTAAAATAAAGATTAATTAATGCGGTAGAAGTACAGTTTATTAATATTTAATGTTAACTAAGTAGTTAAAGGGTTAGTTCACCCAAAAATAAAAATTAAGTCATTAATTACTCACCCCCATGCTGTACCAACCCCGTAAGACCTTCGTTGGTCTTCGGAACACAAATAAAGATATTTTTGATTAAATTTGAGAGCTGTATAACTACCACATAGGCTCCTAAGGGACTGCCTCTTGACGGCCCAGAAAGTCAATGAAGAAAATGTTTAAATATCCCAAGTGACTACCGTGGCTCAACTATATGTTTATCAAGCGACGAGAATACTTTTTGTGCGAAAAAACAAACAAAAATAACGAGTTTATTCGACTATTCCTTTTCTTCCTTGTAGGCCAGAAACGAGACTTCCTTAGATTTCCACGACGCATGCGCGAGAACTGAACTGAAGTAGTGTAAGGAGATCGCAATTCTTGCGCATGCGTCGTGGAAATCTAAGGAAGTCTCGTTTCTGGCCTACAAGGAAGAAAAGGAATAGTCGAATAAACTCGTTATTTTTGTTTGTTTTTTCGCACAAAAAGTATTCTCGTCGCTTGATAAACATATAGTTGAGCCACGGTAGTCACTTGGGATATTTAAACATTTTCTTCATTGACTTTCTGGGCCGTCAAGAGGCAGTCCCTTAGGAGCCTATGTGGTAGTTATACAGCTCTCAAATTTAATCAAAAATATCTTCATTTGTGTTCCGAAGATGAACGAAGGTCTTACGGGGTTGGTACAGCATGGGGGTGAGTAATTAATGACTTAATTTTAATTTTTGGGTGAACTAACCCTTTAACTAGAGTTTGATAAATGGAACCTCATTGTAAAGTGTTACAGATGTGTTATTCAGCAATTCGGTTCTGGACAGATCAGTTATTTTAACCATTCATTAAATGGAATCGGTTCAAAGGAGTCATTAGTTTGCAAATCAGACGTGCAATTAGCTGATTACGGCAGGAGGTGA